TTTTAGCGTTTATGAGAATGGAGACCCTTTATTTTGTTTCTTTTGGAAATACCAGAACGCAAGCTGGCGATGCTGTTTCAATGCTTGGCTAAGCTTTTGGCCTGGAATGGCTTTTGGCGGTGTGCCATTGGGATTTGACTCCGAGTTGACAGGTCGCACCTTCCCATTTTCTGATTCCGGGCATAGCTAAATGCAAGCTAGGGACATGATTCAAAGTTTGCAACGACTTCAAAACATGATGCATCTGAGCCGCTGTGCCTTGGGGATTTGAAACCTGGGGTAACTATTGTTTGCCCTGGGGTAACTCGGTGTGCCTTGCGGATGGGGCAACTACTAGGTGGATGGGGTAAGTAAGGGCGTCCGCTTGTATTGCAGGTCACCTCCTCGGAAAAACGCCAAGCCAAAGTTCACGTGATGTGTGCTGATGTCGGTTTCTGGATGCTTTTACACACCACTTTGTAGCAGAGAAAAGTGCAAAAAATTGGAAACTCGGAATATGATAGTTTTTTTTTTAAATTCGTTTCGTTTCTCTCCTATTTCTGTGTTGGTGGACACCGAACTGGGAGCATTCTAGGTGTAGAGTTCCCCATGCTATTGCCAGTCACGTCCCAAGAAAAGTAGAAAACTAGGTTCGCGTGATGTGTGCTTATGTGGGTTTCTGGATGCTTGAAAAAAATCCGTTGTAGCAAAGATAATTGCAAAAATTGCAGGATCCGAATAATGTATATGTTTTATTTCTAATTGTTTTGCATTTTTTTCATGTGTTGAGGACTCATCTGATGTGTGGGGTATTGTAGGGCTAGCATTCCCTATCTGTGTATCTATCTATCAAAATTCTATCTATCTATATATATATATATCTCTCTCTCTCTCTCTCTCTATCTTTCTCTCTATCTTTCAATTTTTTTCTCTACTTCTCTATTTCTCTATCTCTCTATCTCTCTATCCATTTATCTATCTAGTTATCTATCTATCTATCTATCCATCCAACCACCCATCCACCTACCTCTTTCCCATCCAATCATCATCTGCTCCCACCATCCCAAATCATCACCTTCGTCTCAAAAAAATGGGAGGGCTTAACATGTGGGGTTATCTGGTCCTTTAATATGATTTATTTTTAAGTTGGAACCTCCATTGTTGCATCGTGTTGGTCGAGTTGATCGTTAGGCATGGAGGTTTCAAACCAGTATCCAGCCAAGCACCCACGGCGAAAAAAACAGAACATTTAATTGGCTAGCTTAGCGGTTTCAGCCGTATTTATTTATTTATTTATCTATCTATCTATCTATTTATCTATTTATCTATTTTTTTTTAAAAAAATATTTATGTATTTATGTATTTATTTATTTATTCATTTTTTTCTTCATTTACTATTTGATTCTACCGTAAAAACATTTACATATGCCAACATATAAGGCGATGATAAATTACTTTACAACCAATTTCTGGAACGACCGCAGCGTTGCACATTGCTAAAAAAAAATAAATTCTCAAGCAACATTTGCAAAGAAAATGCCGTGCCCCAGATGGATTCCGAAACCGCGACCCACACTATGTGCAAGGCTGCGCAACCGAAATGCACATGGACATGTCATAAGAGCGATTTTTTGCAAAAAAATGCAGGTAAAAGGCCGTAGACCAAGAGGTAGGTGCAAGTTTTCTGCGAGCCTGCTCAATCGAAATGCGCATGGACATGGCGCAAGAGCCGATTTATGCGAAAATTTACGGGTAAAAACTAGGCGCGCGTTTTGTGCGAGCTTGCGCAATCGAAATACACATGGACATCCCAAAAGAGCCATTATAATTTACAGGTAAAAGGCCGCAGACCAAGAGCAAGCAAAACTCACGGCGCAAACTTTGTGCGAGCCCGTGCTTTCGAGATTCACATGGACATCTCACAAGAATAATCGTAGAACCATGCTATACGAAAATTTAAAAGGAAAAAGGGCGGGAAACCAGAGTGAACACCTCGATCAAGCAGTGGCCTCAACCCTTACCGTACGAACCTTTTCAGTGTGGACACATTGTTGGGGGAGAAAAGAGAAAGGTTCCAAAATGATGGGGTTCTAGGATCATAAGCTTGGTCTCCGAAGATTTGATTCCAGACCTCCCAAAACAAGCTGCCAAAGGTCTAAAAGCAATTCGTTGATCCCCATGGCCTCCCCCGGTAAAACAATTTCAGATACGCTTTTGGTGGGTTTAAAATCTTCCTTAAGGGTCCCTGTCTTATTTGAACCGTGCTAGGGCGATATTTTATTTGTGGGGGGTCAACAAAACCGAGCTGATGAACCCCATCGGCGGGTCCTGGAGCAAGAGATCATTGGCTAAGCATCTTGCAGACCAGCAGAGCAGAGAGATTCTGAGGTCAGGATGCTGGAAAAGGATGTTGTTTTGGTGTTCGTCACGCCTAAACTGTCCAAAAAAACACGTTTTGTGGAATCATGGCAATATAGGGAAGTGTTTTTCGTTTTAATTTCCGTGAAAACATTTCGGAAACACAAGGGTCCGTTTGTGATCAGCAAAGAGAGCTTATAAGAGTTGATGCATTCCACAAAGTGTCGTGCCACATGCCGCCCAACAGTCTACTCCTAAACAAAGTTTTCCGGTCAAGTTTCCACGGATTCTTGCTTTAATTACCTCACTTGCCAAGGGCACGTCAAACACGGGAATGCGTCCCTTTGCAATCCCGTCACAAGAAAGGCTCTCTTTTCTTTCTTTCTTTCTTTCTTTCTTCCTTTCTTTCTTTAGCAGGGCCAAAAGAAAGGCCCGGTCTGCGACCGCTGTCGCATCCAAACTTGGAGAGTCCAGTACGACAGGCTCCCAGCCATGAAATGTAACATCCGAGGCAGTAGCTGACGTAAGAGCCCCATGTCACTGATGTCACGCAACCTTTCCCTGACCCATGTCGAAGCTCACCTGGTCCATCTCGCGCAACTTCGATGGTGTTCATACAAATCTTGCTCGGCGCCTGGGGGGTGTCCATCTTGTAGATCTTGTCCAGCACGTCGATGGCGTCCAGCACGGGGAATTGGTCATGTTGCATCGGCATATCCCCTTGAAACTGGGGAATTGCCAAGTGTGTTGTTGTATTTCAACTCGTGGGAGGAGCACCCACTCGTCCCACCGTTTGCGTTTGCCCCACAGCTCTTGAAGCTTCTTCACCGCGAATCGCTCGTGGCTCTTCATTGATGAGCTTCAGGCGTCACATAGGCTGCCCCGTGGCTCCGTGACAAGTTGGTCTACTTCTTTTCGAAATTCTCGTTGAAACCCATCAGGCTAGCATGGGTTTGGTTTGCAGCAAATTCTTGCCGTGTAGTGCTTGGCCACCATGTAGCCCATCATTCTAGCATTGGGTAGTAGAGCGTGTCTTTCTCCTTGCTACAGATCAGATTGGTCTCCTTGCCAAAAGTCTCTTCCACCTTGTTGTGCTCGTTCTCGTTCGTGCCCTTGGTCAAATTCCACGAAATTCCACCAGTTGGCACCGGACTCGCTCTTGTCCACAGCATGGCTGGACCTTCAACGGTGCGTTCGACTCATAATCTGTGCGAAGCTGCGCGCACTTTTTGATTAAAAAAACTGCACAACTCAACATGTGAAGTCGCCCGTCTGTGGACAGATGCTAAGCTTAGCCTATTCCACATGAGCCGTTTGCGGAATCAATGCCTGAACCACAAAGGAACATTTTGCTTTTGGTCGGTGTTTGTCAGCATCGATTGGTATTGGGCTGCGTTTGGTTTGCAGCAGCTGCACATTTGTTAGGACATGCCTTCCAGCACGGCATGATTTGACCTTTTGAGCGTCTCAATATTTGTGTTTGCTGTTGAGATTTTGCACAGTCGATCTGCGTTGCGCGGGTATTTCCCAACAAAGGCAAGGTGATGCAAGGTGCGCATGGGTGGCGGCCCTTGTTGTGGTATGATTGGCTGGGAAGAACCGAATAGAGTGAAATGGTAGATGTGCTGGGGCGTGGTTGCCTTGCGGTTTCTCGCTTGTCGCTTGCTGAAAATTGTTTGGCATGTTTTGTTTTTGTGATTCTGGCCACGTGTTTCTTTGATCAACATGTCGGCCGGCCGTGCAAACGAGAACATGACATTAAACGACCGCAACATCAGGAATGCATGTTGTTGTTGTTGTGGTGGTGGTGGTGGCGGTGGTGGTGGTGGTGGTCGTCGTCGTCGTTGTTGGTTGCGGTTGGTTGTGGTTGGTTGTGGTTGGTGGTTGTTGGTGGTCGTTGGTTGTTGTTGCTTGTTGTTGCTTGTGGTTGTTTGTTGTTTGTTGTTGGTTGTTGGTTGTCGGTTGTCGGCTGTTGGTTGTTAGTTGTTGGCTGTTCGCTACTGGCCATTGGCTATTGGCTGTTGGTTGTTGGTTGTGGGTTGTGGGTTGTGGGTTGTGGGTTGTGGGTTGTGGGTTGTGGGTTGTGGGTTGTGGTTGTTGTTGTTGTTGTTGTGGTTGTGGTTGTGGTTGTGGTTGTGGTTGTGGTTGTCGTTGTTGTTGTTGTTGTTGTTGTTGTTGTTGTTGCTGTTGTTGTTGTTGTTGTGGTGGTGGTGGTGGTAGTGGTGGTGTTGTGTGTGGCGTTGTTGGTGGTGTTGTTGTTATTTGTGTTGGTAATGTTGCAATAAATGTTACGTTCAGCAGCCGGCAGTTACAAAGATCTAAAACTGGTGGCGCCATCATCGCGCAAAATTATTTGACGGACTAAATGCTTTCTTTTGCATGTTTTGAATCGAACAGTCTTGCCTGAAACCGATTTTTTTTGTCAACTAACATGTTGGAACATTGGGTCCTAGGAAACCCTGCGCTTACATTGTGGCACGTTTGCTCAAAGTGGGTGCGTTCCACTCGTGATGACCGACACGGGCAGCCCCAATTATGCAAAAAATATAGCCATGAAGGTTGTGTTAAAATTTGGACACTGATGCACAGGCATAAGGAAAAAAATGGCACTAGCAGAAAACAATTTCCATGAGCAATGGAGGCAGGGGTCGCTTGGGAACCCGTCAATGCGGTGTCCAACGCTGGTGGCGGTGGGGCAGAAAACATGCAATTGGAGACACGTGGGAGGCCAGGACATGTGGCACTGCCACGCTACATCACAAGGAATTACGCAATTGCGAAACACAGTTCCTGACAGCGGTGCCGATGTTGCTGAGGTTGGGGGACGAACAGGAACAGTCCGAACCAAGTGGAGCGATCGGTTCGGATGACTTGAAAATTTCAGAGTCAAAGCTGCTTGGTTTGAAAATTGCAGATCCATGAAATGGTTGTCATTGCTGAGTGTTCACAATGAATTTATACAGCGCATTTCCTGCGCAGGAAAGCTGACGCGTGTCTAGACCGACTTGAGTTCCAAACAGCTTTCAGCAAGTCGGCCGCCCCCAGGCCGTTCGCAATGCTGTCGGGTGTGTCGTGTCCATGTGCCATGATGAATGATGTTGGTTTTCCATGGAGCTTGTTTGTGCACCCCGGCACATCCCTGTGCAAATGTGCAACCTGTTGTTCGCTTGTGGTTCGACGATTTTGTCGGACCCTGTCCTTTTCTTCCATGAATTTCGCGCTAAGGCCGCCAGAACCGCCGGAACGGCCAGAACCGCCGGCACCGCCGCCACCTCTAAGAAGGCCTTGGAGCGGAACCATTCCAGCGCATTCCCGTCCACCAGAACCAGATCGTCCTCCAGGTCAATTTCACATTCTTGACCCCAGGAATAGACCTTGGATGCATGGATGGGGCATGCCTGCCCATGGCGGATTCATCCCCATGAATTTCGGGAATGATTGGGATTGGCGCTGGCGCGGTGATGCTTTCAACGAAATGGAATGGCAATGGAATGCTTGGGATTCTAGATGGCCGCAAGATTCACGAACATGGCAGCCAGATCCAGATCCTTCCAGAGGGCAACCCAGAAGAGAGGAAGGTCCAACCCAGCAAGAAATGAGGTTGACAAGGTTCATGGAAAAGTTGGACAAAGACCTGAAGGAAGGGGTGCAGGACTTGAAGCATGGCGATGTTGAGACCCTGGCTCCTGTAGCTTCCTTTTGCAGAAAACAAGTGTTTTGTTTCTCCTCCCCCCGGCCATGGCCAATAAGAAAACATGAAATGTCATTAATCGCATCTATTGTTGAGCTGGCAGGCTACTTTTTGGTATCCTCAAAGCTACTGCAAGGTCATGGTGTCAGCAACTTTAGAGCGAGCAGCTGGCGAAGGTTATTTGGCCTTGGTCGAGACCGTGGAAACACTGTTCCTTGAGGAGGCTCCAGGATCTCCAAAGATGATGCTGGACATCCCGACCTTTGCAAGCTTGTTGGAGCGCTTAGTCCTTGATCCTTCCTCATACAGGCCGACGACTGTGCGCCTGCTATTGAACTTGGCTTTGTCGGAGGACTCGGTTTGCTGCAAGAGTATTTTTATACATTTTTTTTCTATGCTATATAAGTCACTGGATGAGATAGCCATGGAGAGAGAATCGTCCGAGTAATTCGCATGTTTGTGTGTTTGTGTCAGGAATAGGGCATTTTAATTGAAACTAGACTTGCATTGGGGACTCAAACCACTCAAGTTGAAGGAGTGCGAACTGTTGAAACAGGAACGCCTCCGTACAGTTTTCACTGGTGTGCCATTCGCATGGGTCCCATGTTGTCTTGATTGCGGCTTTGACCCATTGATTGCACATTGACCTTCGCTCCAATTCAGAATTCATTCTTCCCTAGTCCGGACTGTAGGATAGATCGATAGAGAGATAGAGAGATAGAGAGGTAGAGAGATAGAGAGAGAGAGAGAGACATAGAGAGAGAGAGAGAGATAGAGAGAGAGAGAGAGACATAGAGAGAGAGAGATAGAGAGAGAGAGATAGAGAGAGAGAGAGATAGAGAGATAGAGAGATAGAGACGAAAGAGACAGACAGACAGACGAACGGACGGACAGACAGACAGACAGATAGACAGACAAAGAGATAGACAGACAGACAGACAGACAGACAGACAGACAGACAGATAGATAGATAGATAGATAGACAGATAGATACATAGATAGATAGATAGATAGCTAGATAGATACATTCAAGATTTCCGCGCCCGATGCCTGCTCCCTTCCTGGATAGAGAGGACAGTCCTGTGCTGCCATTGGTGCCAGATTCTCTATCAGAGCCTGAAGCACGAGCTAGCATGCTGGGAGATGTCACTTGCCATATTAAATCATGTTCGATTCGTTTCGATTCCAAACAAGAGCCTACTGTGTGTGCAAGATGCAGTGCGGGTTTAGTCGCAGGCTGTTGCAAAAAACGAATCTCTTGCGGTGAACCGCAAAAACCAGTGGATTTTGTTGGTTTCAGTTTGCCGAGGTTGGGCCCGCGCGAGGCGAGGTCCTACGCCACGTGTATGGTGCTTGCCAAACAGTGCTAGGCTGCTACATCAGTGTTAGATTATCCGATGTCAGTGTGGTGCGGTATGTGATCTATATATTTCTGCCCAGCAGGGCTGTTGGCATCATGTGGCATCCAAACATTTTTGGTCAGGGGACCAAGCGCAGCAAAGGAACAAGGCCGGGTTTCCAAACCTCATGTTTTTGTCAGTGAAGATATGCAAAAGGCAAACCTTCAAACAGTCAATAGCATTTTGAAATGCAATTTAGGGAGGGAGAGTGAGTGAGAGAGAGAGAGAGAGAGAGGGAGAGAGAGAGAGAGCAAGAGCACAACACGCACGCATTTCCGCACATCATATCAGGGTATTTTTCGTATACCCCTTGTGTGTTTGTATCTGGTAGCAGCCTCACGATCAGGGCCTTTGGATTGGACCCCAATGCGTGGAATTATGGAAAAACAAGAGGTATCCCTGTACTCAAAGCATGCTGGCCAAATACACACTTGAGAGGTTGAACGGACGAGAACATTGAGATTCCTTTAGTTCCACCACTTCACACCTTAAATTAAATATATGCACCTGGACCTTGCGTAGGAGTAGAAAGAACAGGTGAGATTTCTTGGGGGCTTAGTGATGGAGTGTGTACGGACAAACAGGCAGTGACATGAACCTTTCCAGAATCCATTATCATTTTATGACTCCATTCCCTGTGAGTCATTTTTCGAAACAATCATTGAAAGTAGCAGGTAGCAGCTACCAGGGTCCAAACTTCTGTGATCTAATGCGGAGAATGCCTTCCACCATGCCATCCCTGAAACAAGGAGCAGGACAAAGAGGAGTCCGATAAGGAGGAAGGGTCAGTCAACGAAGAGGATGTCAGTGGGCAAGAATGGCCAGAAACACTTGTGCTTCGTGGGTGTGTTTGGCCTGAACTGAATGGGATTTTTGCGCGAACAAGGGACTTCGATCAGCTCAGCCAGCATCAACGTCCAGTATACCAGAAAACAATATTGATGGATTCAATCGATTCGGCGGAGACTCGTGTTTTCTGTTTCTTTCATGAATTTGCAGGGAAAAATCAAAGTCGCAGCGAATCCGCCAACAAGAAACGAAAACTCAATCAAAGTGAGAGTCAAAGAGGTTGGTGGATTGGAACGCAAGTTGGAGGAAAAACTGGGTTGTTGGGCTTTTCCGGCAGCAATGAGGAGTTGCCACCAGGACAGGATTGGCGTCTGAAATTGAAGGGGCAAAAATATTTTCAAGAGGATCCTTGCGGTTTCGTATCCCAAGAGGATCTTTGCGTGGAAGCTTTGCAAAGATTGGATCTTCAGAGACTGCATGGTCGGGTCTCTGGACCAGACGATTCTGTCAAGTACTTTGGACATTTCTGTGCGCTACTTCACCTAGAGTATTTTGTAGAGATCGCAGCAATCAGAAGAAGGACCTCCAAACGATCTGCTGAAGACTTGGCCAAAGGAGGATGGGCTTTAGCTGGCCTTCACGCTCGCGATATTTTCAGCAAAGGCAAAGGCAAGGGAAAGGATGGCAAAAAGGATGGCAGAAAGGGTCAGAAAGGTGAGCAGAGTGGTAAAGGCAGCAAGGATGGCTTTCAGATCACGCTAGCAATGCCTAGGTCGCCTAAAGTTGACGTAGATCGCCTTCGTTTCAAGCGTGGAGACAGCGTGATCTTGTCTGCAACGCATCCGCTTAAAGACAGAGTTGGCGAAGGCCAGGTGCAAGAAATCAATGACGCAATCATTGTGATATCCATCGAGGGGGCAGAAACTCCACTGGCAAAGGGAGGCACCTGGAGAGTTGACAAGGGCAGCAATCGCATCAGCTACACACGACAGTTGAGTTCGTTGGTTTCACTCTGCGGCCGCAATGTGGCTCAAGTTGGTGAGGCTGCCAAGATTTTTGAGCTCATCACGCGATCCAAGGTTGGTCATCTTGATTCTTGGACGGCACGGTGGTCAGAGAAAGAAAGTGCGCCCAAAAAAGCCTTGCCCAAACCAAGCCTGGCAGAAGGTGATAAAGTTCGACTTTGCGGACTGAAGTCTGAAGAATTGAACGGTCAAGAAGGTCGGATAGTGTCAGTGATTTGTAACACAGCGCGATCAAATGAGAAGGATTCTGACCAGCGGGTCCACGTACAGTTGAAGGACTCAATCAAGTCAGTTCGAGTGATTAATGTTGAGAAGGTGAACGATGAGCTGATGGTTGAGACTGGTGACAGCAAGAAAGTTAGCAAAGGCGACACCGGTGACAGCCAATTCTCGATTGCATCCCTGGCTGGAGAGGCACTGCCATGCAATGATGAGAAATTGTCCACGTGCCGCGATCATTTGTCATCTATATCTTGCACAGAATCTCAAAAGCGTGCGATTGGTGCCACCTTCGAACAACGGTGCACCATCATACAGGGGCCTCCTGGAACTGGTAAAACAACGACGGCTGTACAAGTTCTAAAGTATTGGGCTCAAATGGGGCTGAAACCTCTTTTGGCAGTGGCGGATGGCAACATCGCAGTTGACAACATTGCTGAAGCTTGGCTGCAATACCTTTATTAATCTTTATTATCTTTATTTGCGACGTTTTGTGACCAAGTTTCTTTTGAGTTCTTGTGCTTCATTTAAACTAAACCTGCCAACAATTGTGATCCAAGGCCGGACTGGCCAAGTATGGAGTGTCTTGGATGCGTTTCTCCAACAGGTCATATCTGCAGTGCCACCGTCCTGACCTTCCATTTCAGTGAAATGCTCTTTCTCTCAATCTGCCTGCAGGATGTAAAGACAGTTCGAGTGGGACGACCGGAGAAAATTCGACCGGAGTTGGAGAAAATCACTTTGGACAACCAGTGTAAATTGTACAAGCAGCTGGCACAGGCCAGTCTGATACCAGTCTGGTGAAGCATAAAGGGATTATTGTGACTCAGTTGTGACCGTACCCGAAATTTTCCCCTACCATCCCTACCCCTTCCCGGACGCAGTGTTTCAGAGTCGGGCAGGAGAAGAGACAAGCGGACCGGCGTGCTGCTGCATTGGCATCACTGGAAAAACTTTCAGTAGCAGACCTCAAAGCCAAGGCCTGCCGCAAAAACACGACAAAACACGACGGCAAAATACGACAAACCATGAGAGTCTCACGAGAGTCTCACGAGAGTCGACCAGCAATCAATTCGGATCCATTGACCTGGCAGCCTGGCAGGCAGTCGACCTCAAAGCAAGCCCCTTGCACCAAAAATGAAGCAAAAATGAAACACAACAATGAAGCAATAGAAGTTCTAATAGAAGCAATCGTTTGGCCAGGTTTCAGCTGTTTCTCTTGCTGCGGAGTGATCCTTTGAGAGTGGGGTCAAACTTGATGGATTGGGACTAGAAATGAATACTAATGCGGCATATTCTTTCAGATTTCCTGCCATGATTCTCTTGTTAGTTTGATGGAGCCACCAGGGCATGCCGCCAGTTGTGTAAAATATAGAAATATATTATCATAAATCATCATGGATCAAGAGATTCAGGAGCCCGCCAATGCCGACCCAAACTTGAGACACATGCAGACAAACCCAGATGGCGTTGACACTCACACGATACCATCGATACCACACCACAAGGTCATGAGCTCGCATCATGACGACTCCACTTTTGAAATGTCCTATATAGATGGTTTGTGGTTCTGTTATTAGCTGAGGCGTCGATGCCCAGAACTTGTCAGTCTGACACTTGGCTTGCTGTACTTGCAGATTGACTTGGAAACCGCACGAAAAGAAATGAAAGCACATGCACAAACAGACAGGGATCCTGTTCACCGCCTGAGCAATTTTACAAGCTTTCAACGTGTAGTGCAAAAAGGTGGGTGTGTCCCACACTTCGGAGCCTAACGGTCCTGAAGCCGGCGGTGAAGGCTCTCGTTGTGGGCGTTCGGTTCAAAGATTAGATTTGATGATCAGCAAGGAATCCTAGGGAATCCTAGGGATAAATAGGGATTAGACATTATGAGTTATACTGACATATCATGAAGTTGTTTTGCATTGCGGCTTTGATGAGTGATCGTGGCGCCACCGTGTGGCGAGAACAGTCAGACCCCTTTTTGATGTTTGAAGGCCCCAAAGCTGCTGATGTGCTTGACGACATTCTCCAGGCTGTGATCCAAGCAGAGGCCAGGAGTTGGAGATGCGCTTGAATGTTTGCGATTTGTAAGCAAGTCGAATGACATGTTATACCTTTTTTTTTTGGGGAATTTATATATATATACATACATGTATATACATACATATAGACATATATGTAGATAAATACACGCATGCATATAATATAATGTAATTTGATATGTATTTTATGTAGGAGACTTTTGCATTCGCACGGGCACCATCCTGCTTTTTTCATGACTTGCATACCTGGCCGAACAGGAAGCCAGCGACGCTGCAAAAAAGGCAGACGAACTCTCCAAGAGAGCCTTGCCCTATTTGTCGACATGTCCGAATATTTCTATACGAGTCGTTTTTTTTTGGCAACATTTTTCAAGCGGAGCGGAACGAGTTCATTGGCTCTTTGGACCCTTTTGAAACTCTTTGACGGGGATATTCTCTCCCAGGATCTTCTGCAGAAGTTGAAGCAGACGAGAAGAGAGCCAGGCTGCAAGCTCGAAAGGAGGATGCAGCCATGCAAATGCAGGCATGATGCATGCTGCATCAGTTTGTGCAATAAAGCTTGCCAGGATTGGGGTATACCCTATACCGTATTGATGAAATTTAATAAACTCCGTCTGACTGTTTGATCAATTGGGGGCTTTAGTGCCTTAGCCCCAAAACCAGTTTTTTTTTCTAAATAATTAGCTGGTAACTGGGGGTTGAGGAATTCAGGTTGCACATGAACCCAGAGTGCTTTCGATTTGTGATGCTTGTGCAGCGTTTCAGGGCTTGACTCCTCTTCCTCAGGTGCTGAAAGATGCAGACATATTGTGCGCCCAGTGTCTCGGCCAGTGATTTGCATTTGTCGACTTTTTTTAGGAAAGGGATTCACACAGCTCAGACGCAGATGACGCAGATGATGCAGGTTAATCACAGCCGGTGGAAATCTCTTCTCCAAGCTCCCCGGCAGCAGCTTTTTCTGGAGGCACACATGCTGAACGATATTGGATGGTTTTCTCAGGTTTGGTCCGTTCAAAGGCATTCTCATTGATGAAATTGCAGCTCGGAAGCTTTAACTGGACGCTGAAACATCATGGAACAGAGAAATGCAGTAGCGAGTTGAGAGAGATGGCATTGCTTCTCACGTGTCTTTGATGTGTCTAGCCAAATTTAGATCGTTTTTTATGTGTTTGTGCTTTCGGTCATGGCCGCTCTCCGCTCTAGCCGTTCAAGGCACAAGCAACAGAGCTGGTCTCCATTGTTCCCATTGTAGCTCGGCTATTCTCCATTCAAGAATTTCCATGTCGGATCTCCACTTTTCCCTTCATTTTGCAAAGATCCCTTGATATCAGGTGCAGCGCTGTTGTGAGCGCTTGGTGTTGGCTGGGGATCACTGTGGCTTGTTCCAAGTTGGCAAAGCAAGCCCTGTAAGTGGCATGGTGTTGACAATTATCAAAGAAACATACCCATGGAAAACTGTCAGGGCGGCATGTGTGTGAGTTTGCACGACTGTTTTGCTGTTTGCTTTGGGGTGTTTGGTGGGCCTGTCGGTTCGCGTATCTTTGATTTATCGTTCCTACAGCTTCCAACTGGATCTGGATTAATGCTGGCTTTTACCCCTGGTTTGTCAGATCTCAAGTCAAAGGTCAGCTTCCACCCACCGTGCAATCACCAGAGGAATCTTGGCTTTTGCAACAAACTCGCTTTCTCATTCTGGCGATTGTCCCACTATCAGCATGTGAAATCGTGATAAATTGTGGGCCTGAGCAATCTGAAACAGGGGTTCTTCGGAGGTCCAAGTCTTTTCATTGCACTGCCGGGTGTTCCAAGGCTGAACGAAGAGGCTCGTTCTCGTTCGAGGGCTGTAATATAGTCACGATGCTGTGTTCTTTGCATCCGGACAGGGAGTTGACGGTACGATTTGCATTGGACGACAAAGAATCTGGATGCTGCATAGCCGTCATTGCAACATGCTCCTTGAAGGCCTTTCCTTGTCGCTATATGGGAGGCTAGTGAAGGATGGAGAGGGTTTGTGCTTGAACAGGTTTAGCTGCTGCATTCAAAACTTGGGAAGGGATTTCAGCAGCTTGAAACAAGTTGGAGCATTTTTGTTGAACATTTAGACCTGCAGCCTTCTTTTTTAGATTTGGGAGTAACTCTTGGACTATCTTGGACTGCTTCGTGAAGGCCCTGGCAGGTTTAGAAGTGATCGTGTGCAGGAGGGTTTGGAACCCTACTTTTTGGACACTCAATTCCGATCTCATCCGAAGCTCATGGAATGGGTTGCTGGGTCTATCTATGAAGGACGTCTGCAAAGTCCCCGGCTCAGTCAGAAAAGAAGTAGGACTAGAAGGATGAGAGTTGAAAGGCTGACAGTCACGACATGTCACGACCATTTGAGAAGCGTCAGGGTTCAATTATTTGAGTTCTGCTGGATGAAGTCAACTTGGTTGTGAGTAGTGTGAGTAGTGCAGCCCTTTCGAGCCTTTTGGTCACAGGTGGCATTCTAGAGGATGCACGTCCTTCTGTGGGTGGCTTTGAGTGGCCCAAGAAGAAGGTGGAATTTGCAGTGTCGGACAACATACGTTATCATGCGCTGGTTCTTCTCGGGCCTTCTTAACTTTGAATTCTGCACACATGCAAGGTTCCAGTAGCCTTCGTTGAAATGGGACGGTGGGCTGGACACTTGCCTGTGTCATTTTTGTTCCTGAAAGAGAACGTGATCAGTCAGCAGGTGTAGCCAGCGTTCATGCCGTGGTCATATGAGTGGTTGACAGTTGGTTAGCAGTTGGTTGACAGTTGGTTGACAGGATAGATTGAGAAGCTGATGCCAAAACATCAATTTACACTGGCATTTGTAGCATTGTGTAGCTCCAGTGAGCTGAGGTGAGTCTGTGGAGTATGAATCAAAGATGAACCATGCGGAAGCTGAACGCGTTATCTCAATTATTGAGCGTCTCAGTTCAAAAGAGCTCTCAGGAGAAGGAGACGCTGCAACTCCACGAAAGTAGCCAGATGCAAACCTATCTTTGCAAAAACTTCCTTTGCAATCCGCGGGAGGCATTGTGAAATACTTTTCTATTCTTTTTCTATACAGTGCTGACTGTTCAAAAAAACACATCACAATAGTATGGGACAATTTGAAGTGTAGAAGGCGGCCAGGAAGGTTCAAACAAGGCAAAGGGAACGAGGATGCCATTCAATGCAGCAAAACTTCTTGGAGCTGTCAACCCCGGCTCTCCCTTTTCCACAAACGATCAGAAATGTCGAGGGAATGATCCGAGATGTCGTGAAAATAATGATGCCAACAGTGTCCACAAACTCTTCCAGACTGGACGCGCCTTCCATTTGCGAACTTGAGGTCGGTTCTTGATGCCGGATGCTCTGCTGATCAAGTCGGTATCATCACACCTTATATGGCACAAGTCCATGGCCTAGGTTGAGACTGACTTGATTTGTCTCACTTTGGGTTTTCTCTCGAAGTGTTTCTGTTGGGGGGTGAGTCGATCATTTGATGCTAGGTTCGGCTATTGCGGATGCTGTGGCGGACACGTTGCCAGGAGAAATTCAGCAGCCAGTGCTAACACTTTCTGTTTCCACCCGAAAAACTCCAAAGAGGGAGAGAGGCCCTGTGAACTGTGAACTATTGACAGGAGAAGATGAGCCGGAAAAAAGCCAAAAAGAGCCTGAACCAACTGCGCACCTCAGCTGTTGCTACTTGAGATACATTGAGATACAGTATTCAAGAAACTGCAAGAGGATGCAGTGGAGTCCAGTTGAGCGATGGCCATAATCGACGCCACGGGTTTCGAGGTGAACTGGAAATTGCAAGCAACTTGGTTGCACTTCGACATGGAACTGCTAGCGCTGCTAGAATTGCATTTCTGTGCTCAGTGCCTCCGAATTCACTGACTATAATAGTTGTTTTTTCCCCTCATCCCTGTTTCAGCACCTTTTGAATTCCTCTAACTCTCTCCGTCTCTACATCTAGATGCGAACGTTTCAATGGGAAAGAACCTCGCAGTCTGTGGCCAGGCGTGGACAACTTTCAGGGCCGGGAGAAAGAGCTGATTGTTTTTTCAGCGGTCAGGACGGCACGTGTTTGCCCAGAAGCGAAGCATAGGCATAGCAGAGGGAGATAGTGCCGTGCCACGTCAGTGCCGTGCCACGTCAGTGCCGTGCCACGAGTTTGACAGGAACAATGCAGCAGGACGGGTAGGCTTTCTGGCTGATTGGCGGCGGCTCAACGTGATGCTGACGCGTCTAGGTCTTAGAATGGTGACATTGGTGACATTGAAATCATTGACCAGCTCGGAGCCTTCGGAGCCTTAGAGCTGGTCACTTGGTCGATCCACTCTGTGAGGTGCTCGGCGCGGGCTCATTGTAGTCGGTAATGCGCACACCTTGTGCAAGGTGCCAGGGGTCACCGCAAAAATGTACGATATAGACGCAATGCTTTCTGTTTGCTTTCTTTCTTCCTTTTTTTTTCTCTCTCCTTTCACTTTTCTTTGTTGCTTCCTGTTTCATTTGCTTCTTGTTCTGTTCTCTTGTCAAATCCTGACATGTTCAATCCGAATTCTCAAATGCAGTGGATTTGTATGTGTATACTGCATAAACTCTTTTGCTGACATCATGTTGGGGCTAATGACAAAAGTGTTTTGGCTTTTTCTAACAGGGCGAGCACTCTTCTTCCAAGCTCTTGTAGCTTGCTAGATGCAGACATGCAGAATCATGGAGAAAAGCAGAAGAAGGCCAACAGAAAGCAGACAGAAAGCCTTGTTTTGCCACAAGCTACTCACAAGCGATCAGGATCCATACTGGCAAAAATGGTTGGAGTGGTGCCGAGCTCATGGTGTGGTTGTTGACAAGCAGGTCGGCACCTCGATTGTCACAGTGAATGTTCTTGATTATAATGATTAGAACACATTAAATATTGGATTTTAACAGATTGATTAGCGCCACCACCGCCGCCACTTTGTTGGCGGCTCTCTCAAGGCTTGGCATGCAGTGGTTCGTGCAGCCAAGAATTTAGCTTCGAGCAAGCGCATCAAGTCCCTCGTTCATCAGTTGTTCGATTTTGAGCAGGCGTGCTGCAGCATGCTTACGGGATTCTGCTTCTCCAGTCTCAACCGACCTGCAGCTGAAACTGAGCTTCGAGTTGGGTCAGGCGCCGCAGAAGGAGAAGGCCTTTCGTAAGTTTGCAAAGGAAAAACTTGCGGACAACCTTCAGGCGTGCCCTGAAAGATCTTCCATTGATAACCCAAGCTTTGACGTCGATGACACTTTGAAACAATGCGATAATCACATGATGTATTTGTATGTACTTGGAACATCAGTATCATCAGTGCAGGGGCCAGATGACCTGGATTTGTCCTTGCCTCGATGATTCTCTCATGAAACTTTCATTTGCTTTCTGCTCTTGATGTGTTGGAACCGTTGCACCAAGGCTTTGGGAAGCGGTGTCTGGTGGCCTGCAAGAGGTTTGGCTCCCGGTTACGCCACTTGGGGCCGGACGTTTTGCATTATGTCGTTATCATTGTCATTCATTATATTTCACAATCATAATACCACACACTGCGTGACATATCAACTACATCTATATATCATTCGAAATCTTGCGAGGTCGCAGCCGCAACAGCCCTGCGATCGCAGGAAGAAGAATGGATGAAAGCAGTGACAGCGGTCACTTGCCCTGAAAGAGTGTTAGTTGAATCAATTCATGGAAACCATAATGTAATGGATCTTAGCTTTAGAGCGCCACCCCATTGAGTGCGATGTCATGATGTGAGGTAGCAACAGCTAAACTGGATGAGATTCCATCTTTGGAAGACAAGGAGGGGTATCCTTGATTCAAACACTTAAAGGCTCACCACGCGATGAGAATACGATATGCCGTCACGGCAGCAGTGTCACAGATTGTGTATCCTTTTCTGCGAGCAACGTGACATGACAAAGCAGAAAGACCACCTGGTTTGGAGTCGCTAACCGCTAGATCATGTTAGATCTGCAACCTGCAAGAATGGTTGACTCAAGTCAATCAGACAAATGTTGACAAATGAATTGACGAATAAGTATGAATAAGTGCGCAAAGGTGTTGACATGACAAATGGGAGACCATGGACATGTTAATGCCTTAAGGCTGTTTGATGCTGTTTGAATGTCTGAAGTGTTTGGTTTTCAAATGGGCAGGAGCTCGGGAAGCCTGACCCGAGTCTGCGCAGCTGCTGGAGAAGTTGGACTTTTGTTGCACAGGAGTTGCGAAATTGGGCATCATTAGTACAGATAGATAGACAGAAAGATAAGATAAAACAAGATGAGATGAGATGAGATAAGGTACATAGATAGATCTGTCAATAGATAGATGAAGAAAGAAAGACAGACAGACAGACAGAAAGAAAGAAAGAACGAAAGAAAGAAAGAGAGGAGTTAACAATTCACGTGCCGTACATGCATTGTTTGGGGCATCCCCTCATGCTTCCGTGTGATTTGTATTCCAAGTTGTCATGTACATGTTTTGGCTTTGCCGACTTGTACTTTTGGCTTGATACTGCTGCCCGTTTTGCAGCACCACATCTGGTTTCCCCTATTTGTGCTGTGGCGAGTGGGGCAAACAGCTGGTTAACAGCCTCAGCATTTGTACAGATAGATAGAAAGGTGAGATAAGATAAGATGAGAGAACATGCGATAAGATAACATGAGATGAGATGAGACAAGATAGATGGATAGATAGATTAGACACATTATAGATAGATTAGATTATTAGCTGTTATTAGCTAGATAAATATCTAGATAGTATATGATAATATATTAGATAAGATTTATTGGATTGGATTAGGTTAGATTAGATCAGGTTCGCTTCGATTCGATGGGGTTAGATTAGATAGATGGATAGATGTGTAATATCAGTAATAGTAATAGTATCTATGTTCAAATCGGTTTCTTAAAGCACTATTCTTAAAGCACTATTCTATCTGATAGTGGTCATAGCAGTGTAGCCAGTAATAGGGTGGATAGTAGTCATACTAGACACGATAGTTAAAACTGAAAACCAGTTTTCCGCAACAACTAGTGGTTATTTCAACGAAGGACAAACGTTGTACGCAAACAAATTCCTTTAAATCCGCACCCCGGTAGGCGCACCATGTGGAAAAACTGCGGGTGTGCCCACCACATTTCAAAGAATCAATCATATTAATTGTTGTTGCACAGTCTTATTGTACACTTTAGCTTTTCACCTTCATATACCTTGTGGCTATGGCTCAAGAAATAAGCAGTGCGTATTCGTGGTTTGTAGTGGCTGTTACCGTATTTCTACAGGTTATCAGCCGTATCGCCGAAGGTGATTGGCTGGTTTCCTTTCTCGCACTTTTCGTTCTTTCTCTGTAGCTTTCGCAATGGCTTCAACCCCCGCGCTCCCTGCCCCGGGCGGGAACGCCACGGCTGCTCTGGCCTTAGCGAACCCTACACAACCGGAGGAAGTGGTGATCCACTCAGGTGCGGCTACGACAGAAGGGGATGTGAGTTATCTGGATGAAGAGTTTGACCCATGCCGTCAAGATCCACGCAGGAACATGCCAGGTGTCTTGGACTCAAACATTGACATCAGTCAGCTCAACACCATCAACTTTAACAGTGTTGATCAGCGTACCGCCAATGTGGCAGTGGTACAACAAGGTCTTGATCCAAACCTGGCAAACCAACTCATGGCTGCTCAACAGCAGGCATTGCAGAGTGAGGCAAATGTACGTCACTCTGAGGTCATTGAACGTCAACGAATGGAGCTTGTGAGTGAGGCTCGAGATCAACTTGCAAGCGTTGAACAACAAGCAGCCGAAGAAATTTCCAGGAGAAACCTTTTGTTGAACGAGCAGGCCGCCCAGGCGATGAGTGAGCAGAAATCTGCTCAACTGCAGGTCACAGCGCAGGATCATCGCATCAGGGAACTGAGTGCCGAACTGACTCATGTGGTCAACAATGCAGGTGTCTTGACATCGTCTGCGGAGAAGTCCAATGCTGACCTGCAGGCAGCACGTTCAGAACTTGCCGAGTACCGCACTCAGATTGATGCAATGAATCAACACGCTTTGAACATGCATAAGCTGGCCGAATCTCAGAAGAAGGACTTCGAGGCGGAGATTGAGAAGCTTCGGAAGGAGCAGAGAGAGCTCATCCGGAATTTAAAGTCTCAACCTCTGGAGGGAACTCCTGGACTTATGATTCATTATGGTCCCGGAAAACCCATTCCACAATCCTCGAAGCCCAAAGGTCCAACCATTGAGGAGTTAGCTTCGGGAAGCAAGAAGCCTCAGCATTCATCAGATGCTGACGATGAGCATTTTCAGGCAGAACCTTCGAAGCCACCGGGATTACCCGGCGGTGGACCTCCAGGAGATGCCGATGGTGATGATGACTATGACGACAAGAGAGGTCGCAAGGACAAGAAAGACAAGAAGAAGGACCGCAAGACTAGTCGTGGCCGTTCGCGACGACGACGTCGAAGAGATCCTTCATCCTCACCCTCATCATCAACGTCCCCTGCGACGTCAAGTTCGGATTCTGAGAGTTCCTTTGCACGAAAGGTCAAAAGGGCCTTAGAACGTTCTAGGACTACTGATACTAAGGCCAAAGAGTCTGATAGGATCCTAGTTCCTAAGTTCCCTCAACCCGAAAATTATAGGAATTGGAGAATCCGAGTATGGGATGCCATAATTGCTGCTTCTGCTAAACCCGACCTAGCTTTTCAATGGGTAGAAGAAGTGTTCAGGACAGATCAGTCTGTCGATGCCTTGAAGGACTCAGGTAAATTCGTGACCCTGGACGCAAAGCTCATGTCTTCGCTCACCAATATCTGCGAAGGGGACTTTGCACGGCAACTTGACATCTTTAAAGAAGAACAAGCCAAGTCAGGGACACCAGCTAGGGGACGTCAAGCATTGCTCATGATCCATAAACACTTCAGTACCAGTAGGAAGCATGGTGCAGTGTACGACATTGAGGACCTCATGGCTGTTACCTTAGTCAATGATGATCTCAGAGGTTTCATCACCCGATGGGACGCTGTGATCGCTGGAATGACTTCCGAGCCTGACATGATGTGGAAGCAAGCCTACTTTCACAACGCCATCAAGAACTTCAAGCCTCTCTCCCATGATCTGGCTGTGTATGATCGCACACCGGAGGGGGAACCCAACCGCTCTTATGATTTTCTCATGAAAGCTGCAAGGGACTACCTTGAGAGGAGACGTCTTGAGAAGATGCGCCAGGCTACCAAGAAGTCTGTTTCAGGCAAAAGAGATGCTACGCCAGCACCCACGCGACCGCCATCTGCGGGAAAGCCCACTGGCATTTGCTATGACTTCCAGGCTGGCAAGTGTACCAGGGGAAAGGATTGCCGATACCGACATGAAAAGGCAGACAAAGGAAAAGGCGGAGGTAAGAAAGGCAAGTCCAGGTCCAAGTCAAGGGGCAATGGTCGGTCTTTGTCTCCAGGATCTCGGAACCAGGTGTGTAAGTTTTGGAAGGCAGGTAAGTGTCAACGAGGTAATGACTGTGCTTTCCAACACCCACCGAAACCTGCAGCTGCATCTACAAAATATGACAAGCGTGGAAAGAGCCAGAAAAAGAAGAAGAAGAACAAGAAGAAGGGCGATCGCTCCAGATCGTCAAGTCGAGGTTCCAATTCCTCGAGAGGCTCTCAGAGTCTCAAGGGCAAAGGGGGAAAACCATCTTCCTCTGGCTCAGCTGCAGTTTGCCTGATGCGCGCTCTGATGATGGTCGCAGTCGTCAACCCTTCGACCAGCACTCATCGCGTGCCGGAAGGCATCGCCTCTCCGCATTGTTTCAACCAGCATTTTGCCATGCCAGTTACACCCAATCGCACTGTTTCATTTGGGGGCAACGATGAAATCTTCGAAGTTCCCATCGAGCAAAATTGTAATTTGTATCCGTGCCAAGCCAAACAACGAACTTTCAATCCAGTTCGCATCACCAAGGACGATCGTACTCGTAAAGATACGATCGAAGCACGAGAAAGTGATGCAATACTTGCAGCACAGATGTTGCAATCAGCTGTCTTTCGGGAGTTGCATGGTAAACTTTGCAAATGCAGCTTTGAATGTGACAGTGATATCGGCTGTCGCCACTGCATCCGTTCCGATTTGAATGCATTGCCAGGACACATGCCTTCTCAGCAGCGTAATGCATCCGCTGAAATTGCATGGATTGCTGACACCGGTAGTGCCCAGGACTTAGTTTGCAGCAAGATGATTCCCGATGACATTGTGTATCACTCTCATGAACCCCTTGAATTAATCACTGCAAATGGTTCTCAATCAGCTGACCAACAAGCTTCTGTTCATATTGATTGCATCGACAAAGAAGTTCATCCATATGTTCTTCCCGATACCCCGGCTGTAATATCGGTAGGGATGAGATGTATTCAAGATGGATGGGATTTTGTTTGGAAAAGCTTTAGTCGCCCATATTTCAAGAAGAAAGATGGAACTAAGATCAAACTTGAAGTCAAAGATTTTGTTCCTTATCTACCATCAAGAGATGGCCAGGTACCCGCTGCAGTAGGGATTCCATTTTCATGGAACTCCGCTGCCGGGAACGGCAAGCCTATCATCTCACCTGTTCGAAGGTCTCGCATGTCCGCTGTCGGCACTGAGTCCGAGGACGAAGTCGAAGAGGTCGAAGAACCTTATGAGGCTTCCATCGCAGATGACGATGAAATCCCTGGACGTGGTGACGATAGTCTTGAGGAGTTCTTCCCTGGTGAACTTGCGCCAGGACCTCCAGCAGCCATGACACCTGAGGGTGATGTGGGTTCAGAAGATGAAGCCGAAGCTCCTGAAGAACCAGTTGACGGTCGATTTCAACTGCCTGAACCTCAACCAATTGATCGCGGTGAAGCTGCACTTCGAGAAGAGGCCAGGACCCTTAGGCACATGATGACACATACCCCAAAGAATCCTTTTTGTGAAACATGCAAGTGTGCAAAGATGTACAAACCTACCAAACGTAGCAAAGGGGAATCTTTGACTGTGGAATCCAACAAGTTTGGGGATCACATCACTGGGGACCATCTTGTGACTAGGGATGCCAATGAACAGTCAATCGATGGTGACAGGGTTGCCATGGTCATGAAAGATGTCGCTACGAATTTTCGTTGGATCTATCCTTCAGCTAGAAGTCATGCCAAGGATTGTGTTTTAGCTTTTAGGCATTTCATTGCACCTGGTGAAGAAGTC